TGTTATTTTATTATTGATTGCGATTAAAAATGGTAAACTCGTGCAACTTTATGGTTTAATGTTAATTATTACATGGTAAAAAAATCGTTTAGAGAAAGGTCTTGGCTTCAAAATTACGATGTTTTTTCCATTTTTGGAGGAATTAATTTAAGGTTCAACATTAATATTAAATGATTTGCAAATGATTGTCAACTATGCTAAATTTTGTCAACTATGCTAAATTTTAAAGAAATTACGTTTTTCGACCTTGATTGATGTAAAAATTACATCATAAAAATAAAAAATAACATGACATTTATTACAAATTGGTTTTTTTACCATCTAAAGAAAAACATATAAATAAACAATTTACTTTATTATTTGTCGGAGAAAAATTATTGTAATAATAAAAAATTATAAAAAAAAATGAATGTACTTCCACCAATAACTATCCCAACTTTTATTCAACCCATTGTTGAATCAGCGGTTGCTTGGTTTACAATAACATTTATTGCGATCCCAGCTTCTGTTTTCTTTGTGATTTGGGATTGTCCAAAATCTATTTGGCGATTTTTCTTTAATGATTATCCTAAAGTTATTCTTATTACTGGTGCAAAGTAAGAATAATAAAAAATAAGCGACTATTTTTTAATATTAACGTTGCATTTTTATTAATTGGTAATTTATTTATTTTTTTCCGATAAAAAATGATTAATAGTTCTGGTATAGGAGCAGAACTCGTGCTCGCTTATGCGAGAAAAAACATTACTATTGGACTTATTGCTCGCGATAAAGGTTTATAATTATATAATTATATATATATATAATATATATTCTAAATAATTGAATTTATTCTTGCTTCTATATAACTCTAGACCGTTTGGATGCTGTGTCAAAAGCTTGCCATAAACAAGGTGCTACTACTCGAATTATACAATGTGATATTACCAATATGGAAGATTTAAGTAGATGTATTGATAAATTCGATAATGAAAATCCAATTGAATTGTTAATTGCTAATGCAGGTATACGAGTAACCTTTTTTTTTTTTAATAAAAAAAAAAAATTCTTTGATTAAATCAATTTTTAATATATAATAATATTTTGATAGCTCAATCTGGCGCAACTATTGATCAAGTGGAGGATTCATGGAAACGAGCTCTTGAGGTGAACATTACGGGTACATTGGCAACAGTTGTCTTAGTTTATAAAAAAATGCGCGAGAGAAAAAAGGGACAAATTGCAAGTAAGATATTTATTCATAATAATAAAAATACTTTATTTACAAAAGTTCGTTCAAAAAAATTTTTTTTTATAAAGTTACCGCATCGCTTGCCGGACATTTTTCCGTGCCACAAATGATCTTTTACAATGCGACCAAAGCATCGTTGATTTCCTTCGCACGCGATCTTCGTTATTTGGCAGCACAGCATAATGTAAAAGTTAGTGTTATCTGCCCGGGATTTATTGATACACGATTGACCAATGAACCAGGACAACCAATAACTCCCGTTCCGAAAATTTTCAAAGCATCGCCTGGTTCATTGGCTAAAATCATTCAATGGCAATTGTTAGAAAATCATGCTGAAATTACTTGGCCTTTCTTTGAATATTTACCAACTTATGCAACTTATATTTTGCCACCAAGAATTTTGGAAGTGGCTACTTACATGGCTGGTAAATTCAATGGTTTTGTTACTGGTAGTGGTGATATTGCTTGGACTTAAAAAATAAAATTTTGGAAAAATAAATACATCAATGACTTGTAAATTTTTCTTATAATGTAAAAATATTAAATAATATGTATCGTCAAATATATGTAGTTACTTGAAAGCATAATTAAACGTAACCACTTCATCTAAAGAACCAATTCAATTCAAATAACATACTATCTGTACAAATTTATGCAATTCTAATAATGTTATCAATGAATTCAAATTCTTATCAAGCGTTTTATAAAAAAATTTTTGGATATAATTCTTGTGACTCCTATAACTAAATTTCAATGTCATACACATGTATTGTCATCAACGTTCACGAAATTATGGAAAATTATCGTCATTAATTTATTGAGAATCGTTGGTAAGTTTGATAATTAATTTTCTATACGAATCTGGCACACCCTTCGCAGGATTTAGGTTTTTCGCTCATACCTTCAATGATTTTCCACAAAATCAATTGGCTTTAATAATGCGTTTAGAATAACGAAATACTTTTCCAAGTTTTAATTGGCATTAATACGCATAGCCTTCAAACAGTCAAAGCAAATTGCAGTATTATTCTTTAATAGTTTCAGCTTATAATAGGGAAATTTCTTCCGGATGATGATGTATACAGCAGTATATAAATATTAAATCTTTCTTTTGATGCTAATTCTTTGAGAGAAGCGCAAACACGTATTGCCCATGCGGTAATAGTTGAGTCACATATACCAAGGGATATACAGAATCGTTCTTGATATTAGAAACATAATACCTCTGAACTTTCTCGAGAATACCATTACGTTTTTGAGATATAATTATCAATTTTCAGTTGAATAAGCATTCTTGCATTTTTTGAAATCATGCCTTCTTTTTTTCAAGCTCATGTGTCAGGAACAAATAAATAAAACACAGAGAAGAAATATATAATAAAAACGTGTGCATGAAAAACAATCTTGTAAAAAAAAATTCCTACGCTATTGAATGAATTTGTAAGGCAGACTTTTTTAAATACAAGAAGTCAAACTACAGCTCACACAATATCTCTTCATAGCATTATCACTAATCATAGTTGACTTTTCCAAATCACCGCATAAAGTCCCAATTTCTCTGTTAGCAGCAGCAAAAAATCTAACACGACAAGTAATTTCAAAATTCCTTCTGATTCATTGAAAAGAAGACACTTGTTCATATAGCTCTATGCTCAAGTCTTCACATTTATCACATTTATTAATAAAGCCTTCAAATATTTGAACTTTCCATTGAAATTTGGCTCGCTATATACTATCGTGGATTCGTAAGGCGTTCAAAGTAATTAACAACAAAATCAATATTCCACTATATCATATTATTGTCAATTTGTTATATATCACTTTGAATTTTTTATTTACCATATGCAATTTCTTTGAAAATAATCAGAATAATTTTCCTATTATTATTTTACCTTTAGGAGTAACAATATATCAATCATCATCCCGAGAGTTAGTATTTATAATATTGCAGTCTTTGGTTTTTTTCAATGATAACCCTGATTTCTGTCGTGTTAGAGAGTACACTCATCTAAAAATTAGTCAAATGAAATTCAGATGAAACAAGGTGACAAAAGTACAAAGGATAAAAATTGGCCATGTCTTTTTTGCATCGGTAAAAAAATTAAAATCTTTATTAAGGATAAAATTAATCGCAACTAGAGATTGGACCCGTCTAAAAAAACTTCACCCGGGTGACCCGCGGGTTTACCCGACGGGTCAACCGGGTAGTGAATAGATCTTTCTGTATACAGGATATTCCTTGCATTAAATGATAAAAAAATAATTTTATTTTTTTTATTAATTCCAAACTTTACAATATAAACTAAATTCCCTGCATCAGAAAAAAGACATTCACATTGAACAGAAGTGGCGGGTATTGATAAATATTTGCGTGCAATTCTACTAAGAATAGGAAAAGAATTTCGATTGTTATTCCACCATTGATAAACATCAATTCTTTCAGGTTGTGTTGGAGTTATCATTTCGTTTAAATAATTATCTATTTCAATCTCATGGTTCACTTTTCTTTGGCTATGACAAAATACTTTTTTCATAAAGGAAGGTGTGGATGAAGAAGGGATTTCTTCTAAAGAATCATCATTTGCAACTTTGATTTGCCAAGTATTGAATTCAGTACGTAGTTCTTTGATTGCTTCTTCTCTTGTTTCATTTGACCATACTTCCATTAATTTCAATCTTGGGTCTAATAAAGTAGCCATTAGCCCAATCTTTTCTGAATCACTCCAATAATTCCAGAGCGAGCTATAAATGATTCCCTTAACTTTAGAAATTATTTGTTGAGAAGATGGAGCTTTTAATTGTTTTATGTTTCTTGAGTCATCTCCAGAGCTTTCATCATCAGATGAAATTTCATCTAAAATATGAAAAAGGTAAAAATTAATTTTTAATTAAGAAAAAAAGGTTTAATTGAAAAATAATTACCTTCATCAAAACCAAGATTTTCAGTTTCATTATCATTAAATATTTTGTTCAGCTCATGCGAGTCCAACAAATCACCATCAGCAAACTCAAATTTTAATGTCTCTATACTTGGATTAACAACTGAAAGAGTAGTGTATTTAATTCCACTGAAGCAAGTTGTTAGTTCATCAAAAGGCTTAAACAACATAACTAATCCTTCTAATAATTCCCATTCATTTTCATTGAGTTTATAATTATTTAGTTTTCGAGAATCTTCCTTTGCACCAGCATCTTCTAGTAAATGTAAAGTTGAGGAAAGCCATTCAATTGCTATGCGTAATTTAAGAAGCCTTTGCCAAGATAAAAAAGATGAATTCCATCTTGTTTTTACTTCATTTATAGTACGTAGGACTTTAAATTCCATGTCTACATTTTCTGACTTATTATTTTCTTCTATTTCTAATTCAATTAAATTTTGAGAACCATGCAACTGAACAGGTGCAGCAGTAACATTATTTCGTTGAGCTAAGTCAATTTGTGCTTGGTCTAGTCGTTGACTTTGTTTTGAAGATTTGAAAAACTTGACAAGCTTTCTGATTCTTTTTGTATATGGTTTAATATACTTCAAGGTATGAAAAACTGTAAGTTGAAGAGTATGTGCAGAACATGATATATGTTCTACAACATCCCAAATTCTAATTGCTTTTTTCATATTTTTACCATTATCAGTAATTGCACAAACTATTTTACCAGATAATTCAAATTCTTCAACTTTTGCATTTAGGTATTCTTTAATACGTTCACCTGTATGTGGATATTCTGTTTTTTCAACAGCCAATATTGCATCATATACTTCAAAATCTGGTGATAACCAATGAAGAGTCACACCAATATATCCATCATTACTTCGAGATGTCCATAAGTCAGTTGTTATAGAAGCAGTTTCACAGGTTCTTGAAAGCAATTCCTTTAATTGTAAAACGCCTTTGTTATATGCAACAGCAAGACTATTTTTTATGCTTTTACTGGAAGGTGGATTGAAAGCAGGATCAATTGTTTTCATCATTTTTAAATATCCTTTTTTATTT